GTGTATATATATATATATATATATATATATATACATATACATATAGTGCATACTTTAATATTTGTATGTATTTTTTGTATTAAATTAATAAATATATTTATATCTTAATGTGGACAAGCTTACATCTCCCTAATGCTACGTTCAGTGAATAGATTTTTTTTTTTTTTAATTTGGGAATCAAAACATGGGAATTAAACCCATGACGTTGGTGTTGCCATCACCACTCTGTAGCACTTGAGCCACAGGAACATGCTGAATGTTCTTTCTCTTATTTTCAGGTGGTCTACTTCACTGCTACTTTCCCCTATTTAATGTTGGTAGTGCTGCTGGTCCGTGGACTTACTCTTCCTGGAGCGAAAAATGGCATCACGTTCTACCTCTACCCTGATCTAACACGTCTCACAGACCCACAGGCACTGAGCTGCTCTCTTTTGCCCTTTATTTGCTGAAAACATTGACATTTTGTGATGTCGAATTTTGAATCATTGGATTTTGAAATAATAAAAAATATATTTGATGTTTTAGGTGTGGATGGATGCAGGTAGTCAGATATTTTACTCCTATGGAGTTTGTACAGGAGTACTGACTGCTTTGGGAAGCTACAACAAATATGAGAACAACTGCTATAGGTAGTTCATATGATCTAATACCACACTTTCTACACCAGTAGTATATTCATTGCAAATTGAACTAAACTAAAAAAAAAATTGTCTTTCAGAGACTGTGTATACTTGTGTCTGCTCAACAGCTTAACTAGCTTTGTGGCTGGTTTTGCTATATTTTCGGTCCTGGGCTTCATGGCAGATGAACAGGGAATGGATATTTCAGTGGTTGCAGAGTCAGGTAAAATCATATTTAAGGCTTCAGCTTCTTTATGCACCAAGAGCTTGTAACACTCCAAAGAGAAAGGAAAAATTGAAGTCGCATCATATGACCACTTTAAATCAATGGAAGGTTATTATGTCATAAAATAAGCAGTATACAGAAACATGAAAATCATGTTATGTAAGAGCTCTGGGTATAGTAACTGCAATATCTTTGGTAACACAATTGTACTGCTGAAAATTATACACAAATATACTTTTTTATTTTTAAACACTGCCATTCACATTACATGCAGTTATTAGGTTTTATCCAAAAAAGGGGTGTGTGGAGGGATTTGTTTAATGACTTTTGTTTGTGGCAGGTCCTGGTTTGGCTTTCATTGCTTACCCCCGTGCTGTAGCTTTGATGCCCCTGCCTCAGTTATGGGCAATCTTCTTCTTTATCATGATCATATTCCTGGGATTGGATAGTGAGGTAAATACAGGAAGCAATATAGAGCAATGTAGATTTTTCTATATTGAATTCATTATATCATAGTATGGATACCCTAAAGCTTTTTCTATTATTGTATCAGTTTGTGTATCATGAAGCCCTGGTAACGGCTATCTCGGATATGTATCCCTCCTTCTTCCAAGTTGGACATCGGAGAAAATTTCTTCTCCTCTTCATAAGTGCTGCCAGCTTCCTTTTTGGTCTGCTAATGGTAACAGAGGTGAGAGTCACAAATGAAAACACAAAGATGGTTCAAATCAAATCAAAAATCAAATCTGCAGTACCTGTAATTTCTGTCAGCAATTTTTTGTTTTTCTGTTTCACTCTCAGGGTGGCCTGTATGTCTTCCAGCTTTTTGACTATTACGCCTGTAGTGGCATGACTCTTCTTACGTTTGCTATCCTTCAGGCCATCTGTGTTGGATGGGTATATGGTAAATCATTTATTTGAGTCTGTAAAGAACATGCAAAGTGCAAATAAATGTACACAAATGGTAAATGTTTTTATTTGCAACTCTGTAACCTGACCTCTGTTGAAATATTTAGAGAACAACAGTCCACTCAATTCCTAGCACATTCAAAGCGTGTTGAACACAAAGTAATGTGATAAAATGATTTACAACATACTTTCGAGATTTAAGAACTTTAAAATTTATTTTCAGGTGCAGATCGCCTCTATGATAGCATTGAGGATATGATTGGATATCGACCCTGGCCTTTCATGAAGTGTTGCTGGAAATATCTAACACCAGCTGTATGCACAGTGAGTATCATTTAAATCCCTTAAAATATATTCTGTGGCTTTTTAAAACAAATGTTTCATTCTTTATTTTCATATTGTAACCACAAACTATCCACAAACCAGTACATAGAGGTAGGAAGAGGTTTGTCTGCCACCTGTGAGTCTGTGTCTGACACCTGTCATTTGTGTCTGTCTTTACACTGACAGCACTTCAAAACACAAGAAAGACCTTCTCCTATTCTGAGACTTTGTGCACTGACTCTGTGTGACAAAGCATACCAAACTAACTGATGGCTCCCCATTGCTCATCATTCTTTTTCCTGTCTATTTAGGGAACGTTTATCTTCTCCTTGGTTAAATACACCCCTTTGAAGTTCAACAATGTGTATGAGTACCCCTGGTGGGGTTATGCGATTGGTGGCTTCTTCACCCTTTCCTCCACCCTACTAGTTCCACTGTGGATGATTTATTTGGTTGGCACCACTCCAGGGTCTATGCGACAGGTATATATATATATATATATATATATATATATATTTACTGTATATAAATATATATACAGTGGTGTGAAAAAGTGTTGGCCCCCTTCCTGTTTTTTTTATTTTTTTTATTTTAAATGCTGTGTTGGTTTTACGCCAGATGTAACGGGACACACACCTTCTAAAAAGTTAAACTTTTGTCTCATCAGTCCACAGAGTATTTTCTCAAAAGCCTTGGGGATAATCAAGATATTTTTTGGCAAATGAGAGATGAGCCTTAGTGTTCTTTTTGGTCAGATTGACTTTACGAACTGTTCATACACCGAACTCATTACCTCACAGAGACATTGTCTGATTGTCCAGCATTTCAGCCTTGTATTTGTCCTCCTGATCTTGTCCTCCTGTTAGCCCATTATCATTTGATTGGCATTGTGATGCACCAGTGCCGTCACCACCATAGACAGTGAGGGGTAAAAATCACCCCAACAATTAGAAAATAATTAGAAATGGCCACATTGTCCCCTTCCCAGAATTTACAAAGTGCTCTGTTTGTTGTTAGGATGACAAAAAGATATATTTTCAAAACTTTAAAAGTTACATTTTAAGCTTGTCTGCCTCAGTGTTCAACAGCACTTGTTCAACTTTTCTTTTTAAATTATCCATACCGTTTACCCTTGTTTCCCCCTTTCCCTCTAACTGCTGTACAAAGACTTTACATTGTAAATAAAATCTTGAAGAGTTCCATGTGTGAGTGCTGGGATTGCAGATAGCCATTTCTCTCACTTTTTTTTTGCCCATTTGTTTTTACGTTTAAATTTATATATATATATATATATATATATATATATATATATATATATATATATATAAATTGGTCCCCCTAATGTTCAAGACATGGTTACTGCAACTTTAAAGCAACAGTTTTTAATCGATCATACAGTTAGGCCTACATGATAATGTTCATATGGAGAATAAATTCAAATATATGTATTTCAAATGAATTGACAGGATACGATTTGTTTGCTCTTTATAAATGGATTGAAGTGTTACCTCAAAAAGGACCTTGAAGGCCGCCTGTTTGGCTTTTTTCAGCTTTCCCTTTTAGAATTAAGTGTGTCTGACATGTAAAAAAAAAAAGTGTATAAAAAGTGAAAATTACAAATGAGAGTAGTTAGTATACAAATACAAGATTATTATTATTTTTTTAAATTGTGTTATTTTTATGTAATAATTTCTTCTGCTATAGTTTAGTTAACGTTAGACAAATGAATGACAAAAGAATGACACTTTCCTAGACTAACTTGCAAGATCGCCATCTGCTGGGTACCTAATGACATTACAGCAATGACATTGACCTAACAATCAACCTATATAAACGTTTAAACGTAATGTTACAGACTCCAACAGAAAAGGTTCATCAAAATCAGACATCAAATGGACAGTCATTAACCTTCACATTCCCAGAACACAGACGCCATGGAACCGTTTTTATCTTTGATGGACTGCAGGTTTAGCTTGTCCAAATGTGAATGAATGCACCATCTGCTGGACATAAAATGTGTATTTTTGTCTCCATGCAGAGATCGTTGGATAGCTCCACCTACTGGACAATATTTAGACCCAGGGCCATGACCACCACAGACACCAATATTCAGATAAGATGTGTCTGCTAAAATGTGCAATGGCATTAACCCATTATTTGTTGTTAATTCTCTAGTCAAGTTGAGGTTTATTATTTTTAAAGGGATTGCATGATTTACCTTTAGATATTTTGTTGCATACACATAATATAGGCAACAATAAATGGGATTGTCACAATATTTGCAGTAGGTCTAGTCTACCATTTAAAGGTTTGGGGTCATTATTTTATTTTATTTTATTTTTTAAAGAAATTAATATTTTATTCAGCAAGGATGCATTCAGTTGATCAAAAGTGACAGTAAATGTTATAAAATATTTCAAATAAATACTTTTCTTTTCAACTTTGTTTATAAGAGAATCCTGGAAAATTTTTTGCATGGTTTGCACAAAATATTAAGCAGTGCACTATTACTGTTTTTATTTTTATTGATTGATTGATCAAATAAATGCCACCTTCATGAGCATAAATACTTTTGTCAAAAACAATTAAGGTAACACTTTATTTCAATAGTCCACTTTAGACATTCTGCTTACTGTAGCTTTGCAACTACATGTCAATTACCAGTCATTATTAGTAGACTGTCTGCTTAATATCTGCTAACACATTTATTGTTCCCTCAACATTCTACTGACTATAAGTAACTTTTTTACATGTCAACATGCGAGTTAGTTGATATTTAGTTGCAATTACTTATAGTTAGTGGAATGTCAATTTTAATGTCAAATTGGAAAATGTCAAAATCTTAGTGACCCCAAATTTTTTAACGGTAGTGTATGCACGGAAATCAAAGTGTTACCCAAGCGTGGTATGATAGGAAGGCCATATTTAAAACAGCAGGGAAACAGTTCAGGGGTCTTGAATGTCCTTTTGGATTGATATGCGGGCCATAGTGGGTAAATGTGACCACAGCCCCATAATGAAATCAGGAAAAGCTTGTCCAGCTTCTAAGTGAAGGTGACTAAACAGGGTGATTAGATGGCCCCAAACCAATCTGAGATTAAAGGACATTTCCTTAATCCAGCACAAATTGCTTCCAGCTTCCTTCATCTGACACACATGCCATTTTTAGAAATAAAATAATATTTATGAATTCACAGTTTTGTGCAAAACATAGATAGACACAATGACCCAAAAGTAATTGGACACCTAAGCCATATACTTAAAATGTGTGAATGTCATTGCAGTAGATAATATGTCAAACCAAGTGACATCTGCCAAAAAAACATTTTGAACAGTATACTTCATTTCAAACCTATTAAACTCCTTTTTACGATTTGTCTGTAAAATAAATCCCACCTTTTTTGATATTTTATCAGATGTAATGACACGCATGTGTGATTTAAATATCCAAATACTTCATGAGGCCACTTTAAATAATATGGGTAAATAGGAATGTTTGTAGACAGATTAATTTTTGTTTATGTACTGTAGCACTATTACAAAATAAATGTTAGTGTCTTTGCAAGACTGTTAAAAGGATAGTTCAGGCAAAAAAGAATTTGTTCTGTGGAACAAAAAAGAAGGTCATACAGGTTTGGAACAATAACAAGGGTGAATAAATAATAAAAGAAAGGAGGAATTTTCATTTTTGCCTGAACTGTCCCTTTAATATAAATGTGTATATGTGTCAGTTTACGGTTTCATCATCAAACAGGCACATGATGTAAGGTCTGCACATTAAACTGGGCCATTAGGGTAATTGCGTATAGACTGGACGCTGACCTGGTTTGAGTCTAGTGCCCGGCACAACTTCCTGTTCATGATGGTGGCTTCCTTGCAGAGTCAGATCTGTGATAAGCCCTTGAGCGCTAAAATGCCAAACACACTGTTTAGAGGCTAATCCCTATTAAGTGACGTGTGACTTTTTGCATTCTCTTCACAACTTTAACCTCCCACGCCGATTTTCTTCTCACCTACACCTAACTATCCTTTTCTAACAGTTTTGCTAAGCTCATTTCCAATCTCATTTGCAAGAAGATGAAAAATCTTTCAAAGCACCAGATGTCCCAAATATTATATGAGTCATTCAATATCATTTAATAGTTTAGGGTCAAGATTTTTTTAATTTGAAAATTATCTTTATTTGTAAGAGTAGATCGCTTTTGAGTGGTACCAAAATAAACTAATAATAATAATAATAAAATCAAATAAATGCTGCTCTTGTGCACTTTCTTTTCATCAAAGAATTCTAGGGAAAAAATTGTGGCATAGTTTTCACAAAATATTAAGCAGCACAGATGTTTAATATAGGTAATAATGTTTCTCGAGCATCAAATCAACATATTGGAGTGACACTGAAGACTGGAGTAATGACTGCTAAAAATTCAGCTTTGCCACCACAAGAATAAATTACATTGTAAAATAAGTTCAAATGGAAGACAGTTATTTTAAACTGATAGCACAACATTAATAGCCAATAATAAAATCTCTTCAATCCCAAACTGTTGAATTTGTAGTGCATTTAAGTTTGGTATAATACAGAAATTATTTTCATCACTATGTGTGCTGTTTTATTTGGTGTGGTACATGAGGGGTATTTTGGGGCATAGTATGAATAAATTGTGGAACCGCTCCAGACATCATCGCAATCACGATTAAGTTTAGGCTGGCATCCAGGTTTCGAAAAAAAAAAAAAAAAACTTAGGATTTGACTTACATGTCAGCACTGATGCCAACATTTGTCCATAACTATAATGCATCCAAACATAAACTGAGAAGTTTTATTAAGAATGTTTCATCAACATCTTCTAACAATGACTTATATGCAATAAAAATGTGTTTTTCTTTTAATATGGATCACAATATTCAACAGAGCAATTTGGGAAAAAATTTTATAATTCTGTTTTTATCTACTGTAATTGAAATCTGAGACTAGTGCTTTCAGACATTAGCACATAGTTTTGCATTTTGTCCTCAATAATCACTTTTTATTGACTTTAAACCACGCACATTATAGATCAGAAACTGTTTCTAGGTCAACCTTTTTGGGTTACAGGTAGCAATATATGTATTTGTTGTAATAGCCAACAATACATTGTATGGGTCCAAATTATCGATTTTTCTTTTATGCCAAAAATCATTAGGATATTAAGTAAAGATCATGTTCCATGAAGATATTTTGTAAATTTCCTACAGTAAATATATCAAAACGTAATTTTTGATCACTAATATGCATTGCTTAGGACTTTCTCAATATTTAGATATTTTTGCACCCTCAGATTCCAGATTTTCAAATAGCTGTATCTCAAGCAAATATTGTCCTATATATCCTAACAAACCATACATCAATGGAAAGCATATTTATTCATCTTTCAGATGATGTATAAATCTCAATTTAAAAAAATTGACCCTTATGACTGGTTTTGTGGTCCAGGGTAACGTATTATTATTTATATAATACCATATAAAATGTATGAACTCTTCAAGTGAAGAATTGTAGCTGGTGTGTTCTAAAGGACATTACTTCAATCAGGGGGAACAGATGCTATGTGTATGCTTTGGTTTGGCTCTGGTCCTTCAGCATGAGAAAGGCTTTGCTATTGCGTAGAAGGTGTGAATCCAATCATGCAGGATTGAGGCATTAGGAGAGGATGCAAACAGCAATGGTGTTAACAGCTTGTCAGGGCCTTTTTGTGCCTGTAATGGGATAATTACAAGCTACTTGTGGCTGGAAATCCTCCTTGAAGGTGTTGACACACTTCAGATATGTTAATCTGACAGATGGGACAGGCACTTTCCTGATTGTCCACACTTATGTCCTGCTTAAGCGCAAAACTCATTTTCTTTAACTGTGACCTTTAAACGTCATATACGTTTGATATATGCAAATGCAGTCAAGACTGTGGATTTCTCAATTTGTAGAAAAATGTATAAACATGTTGGTTATTATATTTTTCAAGAACATAAGTATACAATTTGAATGGAGGTTTATGATGACCCAAATAAGCATATACTGTACGTATTTTGCGTAGTATGATTTAAAAACATAAACTGTTGTTGAAATTTGACAGTAATTTAATAAAGGTGGCACTTATGGTGGTTCACTCATTTACATGGGGAGCATCTCATTCAAGCACATTTAGTGAATATTTAACATGTTAATAGTGTGTAATATAAATCTTACAGGTACAAAACCTGATCATTACCGAGGTTTTCAAAACAAATCATACACTAGCAAAGAGTTTTAGTTTTCAATTTTATCTACTGTAATTGAAATCTGAGACTAGTGCTTTCAGACATTAGCACATAGTTTTGCATTTTGTCCTCAATAATCACTTTTTATTGACTTTAAGGATGTTAAATTATTTTAACATCCTTGGGTCAACATTTATCAGAATGACTGCCATCTTTACTAATTGTTTAATTCAGTAATAGCCAATTAGAAATCAATTTTGCCAAGCAAAGTGATGTGGCTTTTGGCAAAGAAGAGCCTCTGTAATTCCTCTGACGTTATTTCACTATTTAATTCACTGACGTGTACACACAGTTTCACACAGGCTGATCAGGTTCTTTTAAGCATGCATGTCAATTTGAAATGGTAACAACTGATAAAAAGGAGTATGATTCTTTACACTGTAATTTTTTTTTACATTTTATCCATAGCATGAGCATTTGAAAAGATTCACAGTTTACACAATTTTAAATATATATTTAAATGCGGAATAAACATTTTCACATAAAATGTCAAACGTGTGTTAATGTTTATTTGAATAGTGTATCATTAAAAGACATTGCTCATTCATTGAGACATTACTATTTAACTAAATAAAATGATAAATACCACCTTGGTTAGCATAAGAGACTGGTTAAAAAAATATTTTTGAACATAAAACATACAAAGTTTGGTATAATACAAAACTGTTAATTTTAAGAGTGTACACTCTTAAAAATAAAGGTGCTTCACGATGCCATAGAAGAACCTTTTTGTCTAAATGGTTCCATAAAGAACCTTT